CGAAATAAGTTCTGATGAATGGATGTCCAAAATATCACGATAAAAATAGGTAGGAAAAGTGCTCTTATAGAAAGAGAAAAAAAAAATTTTGTGGCGGAGAAATTACTTGAAAAAATCCGATAGTATCGTCTTGAAGGTAGAAAGATTCATTATTTATATGAGACTTGGTTGAATCAAGGCCATACTGTCTCGAAGGTATGGGAAAATCAACCTTAGAGAAGTGGTATGCTAAACGAGGTGAGCACGGGGACGATGCAAGCAGTGGACGCCACAAAGAAGTTGTTACCGACGGAAACATAAAAAAAGTCGACAAGATAATTTTGGATGACCGCAAAGTGGGGCTGATCGAGATAGCTGAGGCTATGAAGATATCAAAGTAACGTGTTGGACATATGATATGAATATTTGGGTATGCGAAAGCTTTGTTCAAAGTGGGTGTCGCACGAGCTAACAACGACCAGTGAGAAGTGTTTGAAGCTATTCCACCATAGAAAACCCGATATGTGCTAATGGATGAAACATGGTGGCTCCATCATGTCACACCAGAATCAAAATTCTAGTCATGTGAGTAGACTACACACGGTGAACCGACTCCCAAGCGTGCAAAGACGCTGGCAAGGTCAAGGAATCAGTATTTTGAGATAAACATGGTATAATATTCATCTAATAGCATAAAAAAGGGAAAAATCATCAACTGCGATTATTATATAGCATTATTGGAGTGTTTGAAGGACGAAATCACTAAAAACGGCACCATTCGAAAAAAAGAAAGTGCCGTTTCACGAATTATTGAAAACGATGGCAAAATTGCATGAATTAGGCTTCAAATTGTTTCCACATCCACCGTGTTCGCCAGATCTGGCCCCCAGCGACTTTTTCCTGTTCTCAGACCTTGAAAGAATGCTCGTTGGAAAAAATTAGCACCGATGAAAAGGTAATCGTCAAAACTAAGGCATAATCTAAGCTGAAGACACATCGTACTACAAAAAAGGTATCGAAAAATTTTATGAATGCCTTAATCGTTGTATCGTTCTCGAAGGCCTTTTTTTGAATAATGAAATTAAATTTTTTGTTTCTATGGTAGCCTACGAACTTTTTAGCCCAACGGTTACCCTAATTTATCGATCTAAGAGGGCGAGGTCTTGTGCTCTATACGTCTTGTGGTCTATAAATAAAATAATTCTCATTTCAAATAGCTATAAAAAGTAAATACTAAAAATAGCAGAGCGAGTTTAGAACAAACTATGGAATTTTGTGATATAATTCTAGATGTTTCTAAGAAAAGTTTGTACAAAGTAATGAAATAGTACAATCAATGTAGTATTAAATCAGTAATGACATCTCCGGGTAGACTAACATAAGATATTGACAAAAATTTGAAGCCAGGAAGGCGCCAATACAAAGCTTTGGACAATAATCACAAGTCACCTTATATACTCCTGATCTATTCGATGATGAAGTTCTGTTTTTATTGTTTTTGATGAATTTGTTTGAATTAATATTCGTTTTGTGAGCCACGTCCAAGCCTTTCTTTTAAAAAAACGAGCGATGTCATTGACAGGTTAATCAAAGTACGTCAATGTCCTTTGACGCTCATTATTGTTTATCGAAGTGTTTTTTGGAAAGAATGGAGTTGATAATATCTACCTTGTAACTGTTGCTAGCAATTTGTTTGATAAAACTGAGTTCACTCTGAAACTTTCTTTCTGACAGTGGAAATTCAATGGTCTGTGAATCAGCTATTTTATGCTAATGAGGATGTGTTTATATTGGCCAAAGGGCCACAGAATAAAAGAACATAGGAGTATTTTTTGAATGTAAAGGCCAATTTCACACTTGCAAACCATTTTTTGGCAGAGGGAAATGAGTTCAACCACGAGTATGATGTATTAGATTCGGAAGAGAAACATTTGGAGTGCTTGGAAATCTTTTAAAATCTGTTTTCTAATATGGAAATCGGTAGTTAGTTCATTACATGTCAATTCAATAAGTTGGTAAAATTCTCGTAATGTTCAAATTTTCAATTAGTTACACCTAAACCCAAGTAAAATTTTTAGTTATTAAGCAGGTAGAAGGTAATGTTTCAAATTTTTAATTTACATAGATCACTAATCAGGTAGAATTTAGTTGGTAGGAACACTATTGTACAGTGAAACAAGTGTTGCGATTTTGTAAACTGTCCAGTAAAAATCTCATTCAAGTGATTCGTGAATATTGCACCATTTTCAAGAATGAAGAAAAGTGTAATTTTGTCTATAATTGGAATCTGAAGTTTTTCAAATACAGCCACGACCGCTGTAAGAAGATTATCAAGGCTTTGAAATTTTAATTCGACTTGAAGATTGATTCGACTTTGGTATCGTCAAAAACACAGTCTCCAACAGAGAAGCAATACAAGCCACTTGCCGTTGTTTACCACGAAGGCAAAAATGCCAACATTGGACACTACGTGACCTATGAATTGAAATGAAATGAATTCGATCTCTCAGAAATTTCACCGCTTGAAGTTTTGAAAACTTTAGATAATATGAGGAACAAAAATTCAGCTGGTATTGATGATATGTCTATTGTTACTGTAAAGCAAATTATTAATATAATTATTGAACCATTAGTTTTTTTGCTTAACCAGTCCTTTTATGGGGATTTTTTCCCAGATGAATTGAAGAGAGCTCTTGTCTTTCCACTGCACAAAAAAGGTCGGATAACAGAAATTGACAATTATAGGCAGATTTCGTTGATTTCATCCTTTTCAAAACTCTTTGAGAAAATAATAGGTAATAGAATTTTGATGTATATTGAACAAAATGACCTATTCTGCAATAATCAACATGGTTTTAGGAAGAGTAAATCAATTGAATCTGCATCTTATCAACTATTGAACTATATTTATCCACAAGTGGATAATAATAACCTGGTTTTTTCACTTTTTTTTAGATCTATCAAAAGCATTCGATACTGTTTCTTCCAAATTTCTATTGAAAAAATTACTAGTAATGGGCTTTCCCAATAATGTGTTGTGTTGGATAGAATCGTACATGGAAAACCATAGTTTGGTGGTTAAATGTAACAGAATTACATCAGTTCCTTATGATGTGAAACTAGGTGTTCCACAAGGGTCTGTTCTGGGTCCATTGTTATTCTTGACTTTTATCAATGACTTGCCTGAATTCATATCAGATTGTCACATAACTATGTACGCTGACGATACTACAATCACTGTTTCTGGAAAAAATGAGAATGAATTATCGATGAAAATTAATTTAGTTATTGACGAATTCAGTAGTTGGTGTCAACGTAACAAACTGATTTTAAATAAATCTAAGTCAGTGCAGATGAAAACATTTGTTAGGAGGGATTTCTGTTATAATTTAGTCACTTTGAATGACATAAAAATATCAAAAGAAGTTGATTTTCTTGGAACTATTTTAGATGAGAATCTCACCTGGAGAAGTCACATACAAAAAGTGTGCAGTAAACTCAATTCCGCTTATTATTCGATCAAACAGTTAAAACATTGTTTAGATAGGTTTGGTTTACTAAATATTTACTTTGCCAATGCATACTCCCACATTAGTTTCAACATAATGGCTTGGGGATGTGCAAAGGAATTTTCTAGAGTTTTCATCTCTCAAAAACGACTGATAAGATTGATATTCAACCTGGGGTACCAAGAAAGTTGTAGACCCGTTTTCAAAAGAGAACGCTTGTTGACTGCACCCGCAATTTATATAATGAAATGTGTCATTTTTGTGCACTGGAACCTTGACTTGTATATAACGAACTTGAGCATTCACGGTCATGATACTCGCCATGCTACTGCTCTGAGGGTCCCTTCACATAAGAGTGATCATTTCAAAAAATCTCCATTATATAATGCCATAAATTTTTATAACAGACTGCAACTTTCTATAAAGAGGTTGAATTCTTCAACTTTGTTCAGTAAGAAAGTTAAAAACTTATTACTGGTCAAATGTTACTACAGTCATAAGGAATATTTAGAGGATTCTTTCACAGAAGAATAATAAGATGTTTTGCTTTAGTTTCAGTGTTCTGACTGGTGATTTTATCGTTTTTTTTAAATATGTGTGTACATGTTTGTAAATATATGTATATATGTAAATATATACATCTGTATATTTATTTGACTACGGCAAGCAAAATTGCCACATTTTTTATTCATTTTTTAATTAGCATTTTATATATCTATATGTACCTATACCTTTGTATATGCAAATATTAATTTTTATTTGAGCTTTGATTCCATAATTTTATTCATAAGTGACGTACTGTTTTTAGTAAATAATCATTGACCTACCATATATACGCTATGTATAACAAATGGTGAATAAATATTATTATTATTATTATGCCTTCTTCGTCGGCTACAACTGCTGGATAAGGTACGACGATTCTTCGGTCACACCGTGCAGAAGAATACGTACTGAAACCCCAGAAAGGAAGTGATCTTCCGATCTAACTGCCCTTAAGGGGATGAGGTTGCTGCTTTATGTAGAGTTCAGCGTCTGGAATCTTACGGAATTTCTCTTTTTAGTTTCTATTGAATCTGATATTTTATAGTTTCAATGAATTTTGTATTCTTTGATTTTGTTGTAATATGATATGCACTGATATTGTAAAACAGTTATTTAATCAAATTAAAGAATTAATAAAAAAATACGAAGAAAAATATAAATTGGGATCTTCTACACCTCACACCTTACCTCTACCACAACTTCAAGGTGATTTGGGGTCACTGTGTCTCTTGAATTATGTCTGTCCAGATTTTATAAATGGCAACTGTACAGAAAAAAAAAATGAATTCAGCAGTTGCTGTAGTTCACAGCATTTGTGGAATTGTAAGTGTACTTTTTCATGCTGATGGATACTAAAAAAAATAAATTCTATCCATTTGTACTGTACATTTCGACACTTTCCGACGGCATCAGCTTATAAACTATATTTCACAACCATTGAAGAGGAAACCTGAAGGCACATTCTTATCACTCACACAGCCAATCACAGGGTAATTTAGGCATTTTACTGGCAGGCCACGGTAAATAACCGGCCGTTTTGAACACCCAGTAATCATAAGATACTTTGGTGATTAGACCAACAAGTAAGAACACTTCTGCAGCTATCACGTAATAAACGTGATAAGTCCAATCTTGTTGAACCTGACACATTTCATTCTGGTCCAGATTGATAACCCTTATGTTTGTGTTTTCACATTCTATGTCACGGTAGTCCCGTATATGTTCGGTTTTTGTCAACAGCCATACCTGAAAATAGATTATAGAAAGTTAGTTAGTATGGCATAGCGAAGAAGCATTATACAATAAAAATGTGTTGGATTGGAGATTACAAAAACTGTTAATTGTCGATTCTACTACACAAAGGTAGCATCACATGTAAGCTAGTGAATTTCGTTGTTCGAGTTAGATGGATCACTTCCTGATAATGCCAACTTGGTTGGTGGAACGCGTGTAAAAAAAAATATTTCAGTTCAGATGTTGGATGCTTCCTAGGATCCACTTCTTTAATTTGTTGTCTATATTCAAATATCGGAGTTCACAATATTTCAAAAATATATACCTATCTTCTCTTGTTTATAAGAACATGACAATACATGTAATGAGGATGTCTGTAAAGTTATTGTTTTACATAAGGGAATATGTCGAAAATAACTCATCTGAAACAACTACTTTCCTATAGTAACATTGAATCCCACATAACTTTTTTCCCTTCCCATTTGTATGTCAAACATGCATTATACTACTCTGTTGAAAAAATAAGGTGAATTTTCATTTTTCTCAAAAAATATTTATTCATCATCAATTTCTATTTTGTCCCCTTCAATGCACTTTTTGGTGTGTCGTCGAGCTCTCTCAGCGATACAGTTTTATTTCCTCAATCGTCGTAAAACGCCTGGGAACAGTTAAAAGTCGCAGGGAGTAAGTCTGGTGAAGGCGGGTTGGCCGTCCTTGTTCATCTTTCACTGCCTGAACCACTGTGCATGCTGTTTTAGGCTAGTGCATTGGCTTGGGATGCGGTGATTGAGCAAACCGGCCATCGGATGCCTGCTTCCACGTGGCCCCGCTGGATACGGGGATGACAGAATCACTTGTGGTTCTGTTATTCCCTAACTGAATGGCATCCCAAAGATGGCTTAATGCTAAGGTATGTGTATCCGTTCCGAGAGGATGAATGACACTGAGCCTATCAGCTGTCTTTACGGAACCTTCGAAATACCGGACGCTCTCTCGTCGTAGCATCGCCTTGTCACGGTAATGCAGGGCTCTGCCGTGATTGACCTTCTTTCCCTAGCTACTCGTGGGACTTTTATGGACAGAGTAAACTTAAAAATTATTTCTGATGCTGAGTCTATAGAGGAGACTTACGGCACCAACTGACCTCCCTGTAAACTTAGATCACTAGCGAGTCTACAGAGGAGATGGATGTCGAGTTTACGACTCCAACTGACGTCCCTGTAAATTTAATTCAGGAGCGAGTCTGCAGAGGAGATGGATGTCGAGTTTACGACTCTTACCAACCTCCCTGTAAATTTAGTTCAGGAGCGAGAGCTTCTCAACTCCCCAACTCCTGATCCAACAACTGAATCTTAAAAAAAAAAAATTTGGTGGTGCAGCCAGGAAACGACTGAGTTGACTCCTCAAGAGCGGGGTACCTTATAAAACCGCCTTGCACCAAATTCCTGAGCGGCGTACGCAGAATCTGTTTCAGGTGGGGGAACAAACCCCCCATGAGCAGGTTAGCAAACGTTTGCGCTCAAGTGATGATTCACCAAAACCAGAGGCGAAAAAGCCCTGCACGGTTGAATCTAAGGCATCGTCAGGTGTAGTTGACGTGCAAAAACCCTCATATGGGAAGGTTGTCGTGGGTATCAAGATGGAAATCTTGCAACTTGACTACCCAACTACCTCATTAACGATGAAACAGCAAAGCATATACTTTGTGCCTGCCGCTCTGGGGACCGAATCAGGTCCCCCAGGTCGGCAGAGTCGTACTCTTACCATTCGACCTGAAAGACCATTCACCATACAAACTAATCGGCTTCGTTAAGAAGCTGGGTTTATTTCGTCGAGTGTGAATAGGTGTGAGCCACAATAAACCCTTGCGGGTTGCCGTGAAGGATGGAAACCCACTCACTTTGAACCTAATCTAACCTAACCTAAGTCTGGTGAATAGACCTGTTCGAGATGCTGTCAAAATTAAATCTAAATGGCCGCCTGTAGGCACACATATTGTTTGTTCTAATGGAAAGAAAACTAGAAAAGTCCATAATCAACTTGTCTTTGTGAGTGATTGTGTTGCTGCTTGCTGAAATTCGTTGTTTGAGGCTGATTTCACATATAAATCGTCCTTCATAACATAAAATCATGCCTACAACGTGTTGTGTTGTAAATTGCGTAAGCCGTGGGGATCGTTATCGGGTGAACTTTTACAAAATACCTAGAGAATTCCTGCTTTTACCAAAGGAAAGAAGCAGTTGCACCCAATTGAATTAAAAGCAACTAGAGCCATTCCACATGTCAGGATTCATGTAGAAAGAGTAATAGGTTGCATTCGTCAATCTAACCTTTGAGTTAGATTGAATTTATAATGAAAAACCTCATGAAATGAAATTGTTTTTGTAAATTGTATATACTTAGTCCAGATTTGTATTTTTGTTCCAACTGTCGTGATATGTTTTATCGTAGATCATAGAGTTGAATTATAATAAATTTTTGGTATATTCAATTGATATGTAGGTCAGAAACTAGATTTCGTTAGTATATAGAATATTTTTTTGTCCAATCACTTTCAAAGATATATTAATTTTAACACAAAATAAGGTCATATTGTTTTGTTTATTTTCCCCGTCAGACGAGGAAGTCACTTTCAATACACATTCATTGAACAAATGATCCACAATAATGATTATTTTATTAAAGTGATTTCTCACATGGTGAATGAAGTACCTATGTCATTGTACTCATTGTGTGCCTACAGACGGCCATATTGTTCGAGAATTGGTCACGTGTTTTGGACATCCTCATACCGTGGATGAGGTTAAAAAATTACGAACAAGCAATAACGAGTAAGCAAGTGAATTATCGTGATTTGAAAGTCATCACTTGTTTTTCCACAATACCGGATGTTTTCTTCGTATTGCTTTTCACAAGCGGCGCGTAACATCAAGATAATACTCCTTATTGACCGTACAACCATGTGGAAAGAACCCACGATGCAATAAGCCACGGTAATCGAAAAAAAACTGAGCAAAAACCTGACATTTGATAGAACTGGCGTGTTTTTTTTGGTCTTGGCTCTTTCGGGCTCTTCCATTGGGACGATTGGACTTTGGTTTCGATGTTATAGGTTAGGTTAGATTAGGTCAAAAGTGAGTAGGACTATTCGACCCTCCACCGCAACCCGCAAGGGTTTATTGTGGCTCACACCTATTCACACTCGACCAAATTAACCCAGCTTCTTAACGAAGCCGATTAGTTTGTATGGTGACCTTTCAGGTCAGATGGTAAGAGTACGACTCTGTCGAACTCTGAAAACCTGATTCTGTCCCCAGCGGGGCAGGCTGTTTCATCATTTTCCAAACAGAGGCGACACACACTGTCTTTCAACAGTTTGAGTCTCTGCATATGATGCATATGATAGTGACCTGTAAGAAGGCCTGTTAGACATCGTAGTCCATCCCTACTGTAGTCCAACAACAGTTTGGTATCAAGCTTCGAAGGGTGAATAAACGCCTTGGAGTGAACCAATCCTGGAAGATTATGCCAGAAGTCCATAAATCTTCTTGCCATCCAGGTGTTCGATGTTATAACCATATATCCATGATTCGTCACCAGGTATGACCCATTTAAGCAAATCTGGATCGCCGTTGACGTCATCCAACAATTCCTGACACTTCGCTGCCACATACTCAACGCCCAAATGTTACGAAAAAGTTGCATGGCATGAGCCAAACGATATGCCAACATCCTCAGTAACTTCTCTAATAGTGATTTGATGATTCTCCATAACAATTTTCTTCAATTTCTCAAAATTTTCATATGTTGTTGATGTGTTGGGGTGTCCATGGCGAACTTCGTCATTCACATCTTCTTAACCTTCTGAGAAAATCTTGTACCACTTGTAAACATTTTACTGACTCAGAGTACAATCGCAGTATGCCACTGTCCACATATCAAATGTTTTTGAGAACTAAATTCCATTTTTTACACAAAATTTGATGAAAATTCTTTGATCCATTTTTTTCGATAGCAGAAAGTCGCCGAACACGCAAAACACTTCTAATTTTATGGCTATCACCATCAAACTAAACATGCTTAACAACTGAAACTGAGAACATATGTTCGAGACAAGTGTAAATAAATAAAAAATCGCTAACCGAATGTAGTAGCCCGCGAAATTTGAACATTCACCGTATTTTTTTCAACAGCCCACATATATTTCAGAAACTTTTGAAAAAATATTGATGGAAATATTTTAATCTAGTGAGATTCAAAATATTGAGGTTTGTGTTCAATTGATTTTGGCTTTCTACATTTCTGTATATGTGTGTGTTAGAATTTAGAATGTATTTATTCATCACTGAAGAATTTACATATACATACAAGAGAATACATATACAGGGTGTCCCTGGACTTCCTCTTTTCCTCTCGGTATAAGTTTGTTTTGACCCAAATTCAACCGGCGCGTACTGTCGGTTCGATAAAATTTTATGTTGGATAATAAATAAGTTTCGATCTGGAACAACACAAAAACATATATTAAAAGACAAGCTTTGGAATAATTTTTGGAGTTTTGTAAACTTACCGTTTTGATTTTGTTATTTCTCAAACTCAGAGTCTCAAAATTATTCATGAATTTGGTTCCCTCCAATAGGCTAATGGACATTATCTGATTATTATCTGCATATAAATATGAGAGATACTGGTAAGACACATCGCTCAGTTCCTTTAGAGATGTTATCTTGAATTTAGAGAATCATCAATGGATGAATCGCTGATATTTCAGTATTACTCACATTATTATTTGTAACGTCCAATGACCTAGTTCTTTCAGGCAAGGGAACGGGCAGTGAGAGCAATTTAACACCGGAACAATTCATTTTAATCGAAAACGTACTTGGTTTCCCAATTATAAGTTCCAGCCCATATCGTTCGCAGGTACAGTTCTTGAAGCAGTCTTTTTCTAACTGAAAAAAAATTCGTCAGAAACACGTTTCTATACAAGCTGAATTTTGTTTATTTATTTGATCGAAAAGTCCGCCAATTTAAGAGACAATACGTATATATTGAGAACCAGAGCACATAACACATTTATGATTCAACAACAGGCAGCTAGGTTTCAACTCACCATAGAATTCATCAGTGGTGTTAGGCTGAACCACAAATGCATTGCTGGACTCAACTGCAAAGCCAAGCTTCGACATCCACCACCGACGAAATTTGCCCTCTGTCTTTCATTGTAGCTTTCACTACAAAGGCAACTAGCTCAAAACCAGAGCCCAAACACAAGGCATTATTGATTAAACACTAGACAATGCTGTTTTGACCCGCCATAGGTCTCTCAGTGGTGTTGGGCTGCACCACAAATGCATTGCTGGGCTAACCGCCTGTCAATCCCACAGATGTAGAGTCCCTTCATTTAGCTGTCCCCACTATCACTATTTCGCTCCCACTATCACTATTTCGGAAAGGTAAGGCCTACAAGGTCGGTAAGATTGGAAAAAAGTTTCCTATTTTGGAGATCTAGAATAATATTTGGGAATGAAAGGTTTTGGCTTTCTACATCTCTATACAAAAAATGTGGGAATTTTCCGAAAAAAGGAGAAAGCAATCAATTTCAAAAAATGTTCTGTATACAAATATGTGTAGATCATGCAAAGAAGTATCTTTCAGACGCAAACTGAAAGAAGAAGCCATCTCAAAACAGCTACTTTCATATAAATATTGAATTACACGAAAAAAAAAAACTTTTGAATTCAATACTTTTATATGAACACTAAATTATACAACTTTTCTCTATTCAATCTGTATTCCAAACATTTGTTATGGAATTGAATCAGATATCGTTCACATGATTGCTACACAGTACAGTAAATGAAATTTCACTTACATGGAACACTGTCATCCTCAATGGCGGACATCCGATGTTTTGTAATAAGACTTAGCACCAATCTGGATAACATTACGAAATAAAGCACTCAATTCATTTGATAAATTACGATTCACGAATGAGTTGAATCTACTCATGTCATCGATGACAGTAAGTAATGACATTCATTCGCTTATTTGTCATGAGTAGATTCAACTCATTCATGACATAAAGTCGTAATTTTATGAATGAATTGAGTGCTTCATCTTATGATGCTATCCAGATTGGTGCTGAAGAGGCAGTAAGGCAAGTTTCTTCTTCCGAAACATCGGATGTGCGCCAGTAAGGATGACAGTGTTCCATGTAGGTAAGTGAAATTTTACCTCTTTCATTTAGTATATTGTGTAGCAATCCTGTAAATGATATCTGATTCAATTCCATTACGAATGTTTGGAATACAAACTTAATTTATTCCAGTTTGACTTTCAGTCTTCATTCTTATTAGTCAGTGGGCTATGCTTGAAGACTGGCAGTGAACAAATCTGAACGTTCAAGCCAGTCTCGGATATACCTACACAGGGTTGAATGGACTGACGCCTATCAGAAAACAACTACTCCCCTTTCAGTTGTATTGCCATTTGCATAGGCAGGAAATTTTCTGTGAAGATTCCTGCACTGACGCCTTTCGGATATAATCCGACAGGCGTCAGTCCATTCAACCTACTGTGTAGGTATATCCGAGACTGGCTTGAACGTTTAAAGTTCATTTCTTTAGATTTGTTCACTGCCAGTTTTCAGGCATGGCCCACTGGCTAATAAGAAAGTTTTTCTTCCTTATTCAGAGGAATCGGGCAAATTTCGGATATGCAGTTGGTTAGTACCTCGTCCACTAGATGGAGTGACATTTCGTTGTTCGCTCCAACTTAGGAAGAGGAATGAAATACTCTGAAAGAATTCACTTCTGGAAAACCTTGTACACCAATCTTAATGAAAGAGAATCTGCGGCGACCATATTTTGTGACCTAACCAAGGCCTTGGATTGTGTAGACCACATGCTACTTCTTCGCAAGCTAGAAGTTTACGGATTTAGAGGATCTGCATTACTTTGATTTGAGACCTACCTTTCTCATCGGCGACAGAATGATCTATTATATGGGACCGGTGTTGTTTCTCATTTATGTCAATGACTTAGTCCATGTTGACATAAGTGGTAAATTCACATGTTTCGCTGACGTCACACTATCCTCTGATAGTGTGACGCCTCAAATTTACTTGATCAAATCATCGTCGACATAAGAAGGGTGAAAGAGTGGTGTGATTCCAATCTTTTATCATTCAACATCGACAAAACAAATGTGGTCACGTTTAGATGTAACACAGGGGAAGTACACTTGGAAAATGTAAAAATTGAAAATTTGGAGAAAAACAAATTTTTGGGGCTCTTCATTTATGAAAATCTAAAATTTGATCCCCATGTCGACTTCTTATGTAGAAGACTAGCAGCAGGATGTCATGCAGTGAGAGTTGTTGCAAGAGAGTTAGACACTACTATCCCAAGATCAGTTTATTTTCCACAAATTGAGTCCTATTTACGTTATGGAATTTGTTTCTGGGGAAATTGTGCACAATTTCGTTTCAGTATGGTATTCTCTCTACAAAAAAGATCCATCAGATATTTATGCAAGGCCAGCTACAGGGATTCATGCCGCTCATTATTTGTGAAGCAAAAAATTCTGACCTTGGTATGTCTTTTTATTTTGGAAACAGTGTGTCTTATCCACAAAAAATATAAAAATCATTTAATACCACCTCAACTTATAGTACAAGTCAGTCTTACTTCATTTCCCTCCCAACACCTACTCTAGCCCTTACACAAAATTCTATTGTTTTCAATAGCAAGAAGTTATTTAATCACCTTCCCATTAATTTAACTTAAATTGGAAACCAAAGTTCGAATTTGGAACTTTAAGAAGTATTTTGGCAGCTCTGTAATATGGCTAAAAATATGAAGAAATTGTCAGTATAAATAATATGTAAATTTGTAAGACGTTTAATTTCAACAATAATAACATCTTGTAATTTGTCAATTCTGGTCATTGTCCTTCTTTCCACCAAAAATAATCTTTATCGAATCCATCATAACTAATCAGTGACGTCATTAGACGGCTTTTACAATTTATTGGTTAAATTTCAATAAAAATGAAAGATTTGAAATTAGTTTTTCTATCACTTACTCAAGGTAATTTTATTAAATAATTGATTATATTGATAATCACCTGCTGTATGCGTTTCAGTTCTGAAACTTTGATGCTTTCAGTGGTGTTGAACCAGTGGAATCCTGCCGGTTCCAAACAAGCTGTCAAATTCTCATTCTTGAACAATATATCTGATCTGTTCAAAGTTTGCTCCACACTTGCGCACATCAAACTAGGATTTGCTGAAAATTAATTGAATTTCCTTAGTTTCAATACCGAGTACCATATAAGGTCAATATACACAAAACAAACATAATTTCTCCCCACCAGAGAACATAAAACTCATAAAACAAGTCAACAAAGGAAACCGCATGGACATTTGGGAAAACTTGAACATCCATAAATTTAACAGTCATAAATCACTTATCGAGGAACAA